ATGATAAAGAACATCCTTGATAATCATGTATGAAAGTCGGCCTTTTAAAGTATATCAGGCGCTATTGTCCTTGGTCACCTGCTATGATGAACAGGTATTCGACAGCTAGTTCAAGAACATTGAAGGTTATTGCCCGTATATAATAAGTGAGCCGTAGCTTCACACAACAATTCACACTTTACTGAACTGATATGATCAATATTTTCTCTCTTTAAAGCTGCAACAATTGAGTTAAATAACTCGGTGCTGTAAAGTTTTAATGCTGTAAGTTGCAACAGTCCCAAAGTTAATCACGTTCCATGCACTTTGTTTTGCGCCTCTGGAAGGGTAACCGGAGAGGTCACCAGAACTTCAGCTGCCTTCTCTGTCAGCGGCGGCTCTAACTGATGGAAGGCGTGCACGCATAAACCTGCGATTCGGGATAGCAGTCGTGCGCTCATTGGTTGAGGATCAGCCAATAAGATCAGTCAGTGTTTTCGCTTTTCGATAGTGTCTGCGCGAAAAGGATTTTTCTGGCCAGACCTATCTGTTCATTAAATAAATCGCATTGTTTAATAATGGGAAAGAAATGTACATGAGAGGAACGATGTACATAGCACGGGCTCTGGCACTCTGCGAGGGGTCGACATGAATTTACACACCTATAATCCCATCCCTCAGACATGAAGGTAAATGAATTGGGCAAAACATATTTAACTAATTTTGTGTAATAATACCTACCCTACAGCCTCTATTAAAATTGAAATATGTAACAAAAAAAGTATTGCGATCTAAGGGAAACGATGTGGGTCGATGGTCTTACCGGTACTGCCGATAGAGAGATACTGGTGCCAAGTGTAGCTTATTTTTCTCCAGAGGGGGGTCCGGGTAATTCGTTATTCCCTCTCCACGTGGTGAAATGCTTTGCGGCCGCTCTTTCCGTTCCTTTTCATCGCCATTTTCTCTTCAGCAAGATGCCGAAGATTGTGTGTAGTAAAACCTACACGACTCCAAGGCGTCCCTTCGAGAAAGAGCGCCTGAATCAAGAGTTAAAGATTATTGGAGAGTATGGACTTCGTAACAAACGCGAAGTGTGGCGTGTGAAGTACACCCTGGCGAAGATTCGTAAGGCTGCCCGTGAGCTTCTGACATTGGAGGAGAAAGACCAGCGAAGGTTGTTCGAAGGCAATGCCCTTTTGCGTCGTCTTGTGCGTATTGGCGTGCTCGACGAGAGTCGAATGAAGCTCGATTACGTGTTGGGTCTGCGTATTGAAGATTTCTTGGAGAGGCGCCTTCAAACGCAAGTGTTTAAGCTTGGTTTAGCTAAGAGTATTCACCACGCTCGTGTTCTGATCAGGCAAAGACATATTCGGTAAGTCTTATCAGACCAAACTGATGCTTTGAACACACAACGTAACTACCATGAACTGAATTAAATATCGTTGAATACTTTGTATCGTTAGTTGAACGTTCTAGTGTTCAAACGGTTGTAGTTAGTGATCTTTTTACCGAAGCTTAAGTTGAAACGAATATTCGAGGTTGATGATTAGTTAAAAATTAAGCGTAAGTTATAGGACTAAATTGTTCTTAAGCTGAAAAAGTATCAAGTGCAAATTTTATTTCTGTTAAAACTGGCGTGATGTTATCCTGGTTCAAATCTCATATGGGGATGTTCCATTAAATTTCTGCCTGGTGTGTGACACCCAAATTGTCATTACTTATGAAGGCTTCTTGCCAGGTCACAAACTTTTGGAGGTTACTTCTTAAGCTTATATTCTAACAGCCTCTGTGCTAAAAGTTGCCGTCCCCTAGGATTTGCAGTAGTACAACAACAACAAGAAACTTTATTCACTCTTGAACATTAAGATAAATTAACTCGTTAATACGTTTTTGCTGTTTTACAGCAGGGAGTATCAAGTAGATAAGAAGACTTTATTGTCCCTTTAACAAATTGACATCAGTTTTTCATGCGTCTGTCCTGTTATTGATCATTAATTTCAACATAACATTGTCAAAGTAACTGTGGATCCACAAGGTGATA